TCAGCAAAGCACTGCTGACTGCCGCAGTCACTCAGATTTTCTCCCGGAAAGGGACGAAACTCCCCGCCTTCATTGCCTTCATCGCCTTCATGGCTTTCATTGCCTGCAGACACGGACAAAGGCCATGATGTGCAGCGCGCAGAAAGGATTCGAAAAGCAGCAGCAGCAGCAGCAGCAGCAGCAGCAGCAGCAGCAGAAGACCACATGGCACGGCATCCAGAATAGCGAGTGTGCTCACCCAGGTCTGCCGGCGATCAGATTTTCTTACGGCTCCCCTGCATCAGCCTCAATGTCAGTGTTTTTCTGGTGTTTGAGACGGAGGCATGCATTGAAGCAGAGCCAGATTCTAGAGCGGGCCTTCATCGCTTTCATGGCCTTCATCGCCTTCCCAAGACTCCAAGCTCGAAACATGAAAAGCATCAATCGAAACGGAGTGCTTTCCTTATGCCTTTTGCCTTACTCATCCACTGATGTTGGTATGACGTCGAAAACAGACCAAATTCTGCGACCATGTGAGAAGCTCGGAGGCGCAGATATGCAGATGCCGCCCCGAGGCTACGAAGAAGACATGCGACGATCCTACAGCTCCGTACTGGGTCAGCCCGACGGAAACTCCTTGCCTTCATGCTCTTCATCGCAGGGGCTTCCTCTGCATCCGCCTTCTTCATTGCCTGCAGCCCAAGTCACGGAAAATGCTCCAGCACATCACAACACGAAACACGAAGCTCGTCGAGTGTCCGCAGCCTTTGAACTCTCCAACTGCAATGCCGATTCGCTACTTCCAGGGCCCAGAACAAGATCCCAGCACTCAAAACCACTCGAAATAAGCATGGTCACGCACCTTCATGGCTTTCATCGCCTTCATGGCCTGGCAAACAAGGTATCTTTGGCTACCTCACCCAAGCCACCACCTTCCCTGCATGAGCAAGCTTTGAAATCTCTACCGCAGGTTGTACAGTGTTCTACATTGCTCCTGCTTGGGGCTTTTATCTTGATCCCTTGTGACGAGACCTGCAAAAACAAGGAATCCCAAGGCATCTTGCCTTCATGGCTTTCATAGCCTTCATGGC